ACGAGGAGTTGCCAACAAGATCATTACTTTCACTGGTTATAGCCAACAAATACATGGAATGGTTTGAAACGTTGGCTACTGAAGAGATATGTTGAAAACTTCATAGAACGTAATAGAATACAAATACAAAAATAGTGTTGTTTATATCATTTGAATTGGCTCTAACGGATTAGAAATAGAAACTCACAGTTCACATTTAATTCACACAACTCAGAGGGTGAATAAAAACTATATCATTTGTATGAATTTATGCTTGCAAAAAGTAACAACTCGTGTTTCAGTTCATTAATATTTCCTGAATATGTTTTTATCTCCAGATACTTATTGTATGTAGCATTCTTAAAAATAGTTGATGTGCCTTTTTTTCTGGTATTATATTTATGGATGTCCTCGACAGATTGTGTTGTGTTCACTTTTTTAGAATCTGCTGAGATTTTGAATGTATAAGCATGATAGTGTTACAATTCCAATACTGGTACTCCTATCATACATCTCAAAAAACTGTGTGACTAATACATTGTTTAGATGAGACAAGTTTAAAATATATCACTCTCGAGATTTCAAAACTGACAGAATAACGTAGGGTAGCTGTCTAATCAAAAATCACAAAAAAGTCAATTTAGCAACATAGTGAATATGTCCCCCCAGACCATCTTATTCAACTGTCATCCCTAAAAATGTAGTTGAAGTCCAGCAGATTGGGGTTCATGGTGGTGTTTTTAAGCGAAAATGCTATGAAATTAGTTTTGTGGAGGTTTGAAGATAATCCATGATTAGAACATGAAATAACTGGACCTTATTGTTAGAGCAAACATATGGTGGTTCATTAACAATACATTTTTGAAGTACAGCATTTTTCCTATGCAATTGAGATCTTTCATGAATATTATAAATCGACAGTTAGCTAAGAACTCATCCTTGCAGCACTCCTCGAGATAAGAATTGAATATTATATCTGTTATAGTTAAGTACTATAACTTGCTCAAGATATGATTGTGGTCATTGTTAGTCATTCCTCACTTCTAATTTTTCCAGCTTGTTAAATAATAGTTTTATGATCTATAGTGTCAAAATTTAAATGGATTTTTATCAGTAGTATTGTAGATAAAAAATGTTGGGTTATAGTTGCAATCCTAGACCTAATTTTGTGAATCTGTTGAAAATGAGCTGAGAGGTTATTTTGAGAAAGTTATGAGTGGCATGACGTAACATAGCTTCTTATATGTGCATTGGAGCATTAGTTTATATAGAAAANGTTTTTGCACGTCAGCTACACCTGACGATGCCTTAGATTCAACCATGTAGGGCTTTTTCGACTTTGGTGAATCATCACTTGAGCGCAAAAGTTTGCTAAACTGCTCATGGGGGGTTTGTTCCTTCACCTGAGACAGATTCTGCGTACCCGCTCAAGAATTTGGTGCATGGCGGTTTAATAAGGTAACCCGCTCTTAAGGAGACGACTCTCGTTTCCTGGCTGCACCACCAAACCTTTTTTTTAGGTTCACTTATTGGAGAGTTGAGAAGCTCTCACTCCTGATCTAAATTTACAGGGTCAGTTGGAGTCTTAAGCTCGACATCCATCTCCTCTGTAGACTCAGTGTCAGAAAGAATTTTTAAGTTCACTCTGTCCATAAAAGTTCCACGAGTAGCTAGGGAAAGGTCAATCACGGCAGAGCCCCACATTACCAAGACAAGGCGATGCTACGACGAGAGGGCGCCTGGTATCTCGAAGGTTCCGTGGAGACAGCTCTCGGCACGGATACACACACTTTAGGATTAAGCCATCGTTGGGATGCCATTCAGTTAAGGAATAACAGAACCACAAGTGATTCTGTCATTCCCGTATCCAGCGGGGCTACGTGGAAGCAGGCATCCGATGGCCGGTTTGCTCAACTTCCACATCCCACGCCAATGCACTGGCCAAAAACAGCATGCACAGTGGTTCAAGCAGTGAAAGTTGAACAAGGACAGCCAACCCGCTTGAGTTCCCACATAGTTTAATTTCCAAATTCTGGCTTGGCAGGTGTTTTGATCTGGATTTCCCTGCCATGAGCATATATTTTGTTTCATTTTAAGTAAATTACTTCAACACCATTTATGAATACAATTTATTGTAGAGTTTATCGTTTCCTTCAAAACTCCATGGCCTGTGGATGAAAAATAGATGAAGGTGTCATCTACAAATAAGTGGATTTCACAAATTCCAGCTTTTCCTACTATATCAGTTATATCAATCATGAAGAGTAAAGGCCCGAAAATAATACATTGTGGCACCTCAAAAATACCTGGGCTAAAACACAAAAATTCAAGACATGATGCGTACAAATAAAAAATCTCAAACAGTCTGAATTAGTGTCGGACACTTGGTTAAACCAGAACGCATTTTGAGGAGACCACTGTGCCACCTATCGTATATATGAAGAGATGAGAAAATACTGTTGATCACGTCCATTTTGTTATGTAGCCTATCCTTGTAGTCAGTTCGAACGTTATATAACCTCAATCATCAATTATTCAAATCAAATAAATAAAAAAACTTCCTAGAAAATAGCCCAAACAAATTTCCATATGAATGCGCATGAGCAACGGGAACAGTTCTCAACAGTTCAGTCTCAAGAGCAAATACGATTCGGGACGGTTCAAGACAGTTTAGGATCATTTCGCAGTCGAAACCAGAACAGAGGATTCATCAATCCACAAACCACCTACTATAAGTAGTAAGTAGTTTGTGCATCAATCCGATCTTATCCCCAATAAAACAGAACGCTCTATATCAATTGCGCATGATTCCGTCCTATAACCTGAATTTCGTAGAACCAGAACAAACTTATTGTCTTTCAATAGGGCACCTGGAACATCCTCTGGTAATAATAATGTTTTGTTATCATATAACACCTACAGAATACACTATCAAAACGTAACTACTCGGAAAAAACAAACTGAACTTGAACGCTAAAATGCTATGTTTGTGACAACAGGTACACATATATAGGTGACAGGTTTCGAACAATTGAACAACTTTAAAAGTAAAATTCCCTAGGATTCTTTATTCTTGTTCATATCAACTTCAATACTTCGATTCATATATCTGGGAACATCCAGAAATCTATAAAATTATAAATTCTGTATACTCTGAATAGGGGTACCGGAATCGCCCATTAGATTCCATTCATGCCAGCTTTGAATTACATGAGTTTGAGGTTGATGATATGTAAAACTGCGTCATTGGTGGCGCATAATACCTTACAGAAAAGACATTCATCTGGCGGCACCACCGACATAAGGTTATGTCAATGGACGGCACCCTCATGCAAGAAGATATTGAAAAGAGACGAAATTACCAAATGTCCCGAATCGATTACCGACGGCATCACTTAGCAGCATTAAAGTCAATGCCAACTGGCGTTATTGTTTATACACAGTACCTCGGGTTCGTATACGTATATTTCTGTGATAACACATAGTGTTTTGATGACTGGCAAATTGCTCAGGAAGCAGTGGTGAAAAATGAGAAGGAGAAGGCGAGTTCTTTTATTCAACAGCAATCTAAGTATCAGCTTTTGCTGGTATCTTCGGAGAATTTTTCAAATGACATTCAAATTTTTTCAGTAACCTCAAATTATTTATAGTTATAAATGACAACAGAATGAAACCAGACCTCGAGAACAAAGCTTTAGTAATCCAACCCTAAGACAGCGCTGTTTCGACCTCGCATAGGTCTCACCATTAGTATTAGGCTGAATCATAAATGCATCGTCTGACTCAACAGTCCTTAAAAGACAGGCCTCAGTATAAGTAAGCATAGACATCTCCCATTTAAGGAATCAAGAGTCCTGGTGGTCTATTGTGAAGCTAAGTCAAAATGGATTTGGATCTTTCCTAATTTAATGCTAATACGAAGTTTCTAAGAAATTTTGAATGTTATTCGGAAAATTCACCAATATAAAATATATCAGCAAAAACCAATACCCAAGTTCATTTATCCAGTATCTTTAAAACAAAGAAAAACTTTTTGGCTTTCTACTTCTCCAACATTGAAAAACTATGAGAAAAGATGAAAGAAAATAACTACAATAAAAACTATTTATGAAGATATGCAGACCATACATAGAATTTCTTTCAGATGCTGACACTTTCAAAACAACTACTATCACATGAACATTGAATTACACGAAAAAAACTTTTTCCATTTAGTTTGTTCTGAAAAACAATCATTATGAAATTGAAGCTGATATTCAGTTTATGATACCCCCAAGTCTGACATTATCTTGAATAGAACTTCTATGATCATATTCTGATAGTACAATGAATGTTTCAAATAGAAATTAGAAATTTTATGAAGATATGCAAACCATGAAAAGAAGTTTCCTTCAGAATCAAACACTTTCCAAACAACTACTATCATACGAATATTGAATTACACGAAAAAATAAATTCCTTTTGAAACACTTACTTTCATATGAACATTGAATTACATAAAAAAACTTTTTTCCATTTAGTTTGTTCTGAAAAACAATCGTTATGAAATTGAAACTGATATTATTCAGTTTATGATACCCCAAAGTCTGACAATACCTTGAATAGAACTTCTATGATCATATTCTGACAATACAATGAATGTTCCAAATAGAAATTTGAAATTTTATGAAGATATGCAGACCATACAAAAAAGTTTCCTTCAGATACAAATACTTTCGAAACAACATTAGATATAAATTTTATACTTTTTATACCCCAAAAGTCTAGAAAAGAAATAGACATTCGTGACTTTTTTAAATCTAAATGAAATATGTTTTACAGTACGTTTATATACGTTATATGAAATGTAAAATTAACTTTGTTGTATTTGCATAGTGTATTTGTAGTAACATTATTAACCTGATTGTTCTTATATTTACGATTTATGTATGTATGTAATTAAAAAAACAAAGTACATACATTTGTTTTACGGCAAAGCCTACACTAAAAGGAAGGGACACTGCCCGATAGACTGGAATTTTCGGTAGTCCGGCACCGAGCCGGTCCCGAACGTGCCGTATTATCGGACTCCTACTGTACAATGAATGTTCTAAATAGAATCCCGAACTTTTCGGTTTTTCCTTCATATCTCCGAAACAAAAAATTTCTACTCAAAAATAAGCAACTTTGCTCCAATTCAACCTACACGAGTCTATCTCTCATCATCTACAACATCCCTTTGTATAGACTTGAATTTGAATAGCCACTGAATATCTGGAATTTTTCATTATTCTTCTGAATAGTATATTGTTAATATTATGCCAGTTCATATTATTATGTTACTTCCACTTCAGCCCACAAAATTTCATTCTTGGGTTTTCACTTTTCAAGACTTAATACAAATTACAAGTTGATGAATGCCACTAGAATGTTTTTTGAAATGGAAAAATTGATAAAAAGTTTTGTTTGAAATTTCAATTAGTAATATGTTGAAAATATTCAAAATTCAAACTGTGACCAGGTTTCGGTAGGACTAAGATAGTTTCAAATTGACCGTGTTCTCAAAATCGGAAACAAATCATCATTTTGAGTGTTCTCAACAATCTGAAGCTTACTTTTTCACAAGATCGGCGAAGTAATGCCATTTCACTGGTTCTTATTCTGATTTATATCATTATTCACAGCCAGGGCTTTCTTAACCATGATTTTTTTAATTCTTCTTTTTGAGGAAGGTTCTTTCAGTCCCTTCATTTTCCTAGTTTGTATACTATGAATGTCTTGTTTGCCAATATGTATTCGACCATGGGTTGTGCCAAGTTCATCAGTGCTTATATTCTTCTTCTTAGTCACTTGGAGTTCTTTAGGTTTACGACACGCCTCCTTCATCAAGTCTTCATCTGGTAATTTTGTCCGTCTGAGAGAGAAGTCAGCACGGGGACCTTGAACAAGTTGGGGTTAGCATCATTATTTATTTATTTATTTGTATCCAAACAGACCGAAGGTCTAATTACGTGGATAATGAATATAAAATAATCTTCACATTTCAATAATTATAAATCATGAGAGTCAGTTGCGTACCTACTCAAAAACTTTGAGGTTGAATAGCAATGAACTATATATACTCTGTTATTGAATATAGTTGTGCAATAAAATCGATAATGGTAATATACGTAAATTAGCTTGATTGGAATATTTTTTGATATTATAAAGTATTGAGTTTTTAATTTGTGCTGTTGACGAGATAGGAATATTGAATGTGAGACGAGTGGCATAACTTTGAGTTGAGTTCGAGATGTTATCATTTGTGCTTTTTGTGCATTAGGCAGACTGTTTCCAAAATAAAGAGGCAGTAGACTGTTAAGATGTGATGAGTCAAAAAGAGGGGCTTACAGGAATCTTGGACTCTAGCTGAGCTGAGTCATTAAGTTTTGACAGCTTCTCTCCCAGAAACAAACTCCGTACCGCAAGTGGCATTCGAAAAGTGCAAAGTATGCTTTTCTAGAAGAGTGATAGTCCGAAGAGTTAGAGATAGACCTTATTGCATAACAACTTGAGGATAACTGTTTGCATAGTATACTAATATGCGTTCCAAATTTTGATTTTTTGTCTATGTTGAAGCCTAAAAATTTGTTCTCTAGTTTATAATCAATGATGTGTTCTTCAAGAATTATATGGTCCAGGTTACATTTAAAAGACATTATATTAGTCTTTGATATATTGAAAGATAATAAATTGGCATTACACCATTGTTTAACGTTGCCTACCCTAATTTTTAGTGCATCAGTGCTTCTTCCATGCCAAAGTATAGACGTGTCGTCAGCAAAACTTGTGAATTTGCTTTCAATCATTATATTTGCAGATCATTTATTTATATATAATAAAAACAGCAAAGGGCCGAGGACAGATCCCTGAGGTACTCCGCATTTAATGCTCATTTTATCTGAAGATGAACTTTTGAAATTCACTACTTGAACGCGATCTGTTAGTTAACATAATACTTGAATCTTGTGCTATTCTAGTATTTGTTTTGGAATTTGCACGTTGAAAAAAAAAATGGTGAATCAAAATGAGATAATGCTCATAGGTATTTTAAAGTTGGGTATATTTTCAAATTTAGCAAAAAATAATCCTCTGATTTTTTATCAGTTTATACCTTCTGCAATCTGAAAAATTAATAAATCTAGATCAACAAGGCAAACTGAAAAATTTACCTCAAAAAGTTACTGCCCAACATAAACGAAGTTTCATAAGCAGATTCTCTGTCGAAAGATATTCATATTTTCTATTTTTCAGATTGTGGAAGGTTAAAATCCAGACAACATTAAAGAACATTACCTCCTTCACAAAAAATACTATATTAATAAAGAATTCTATTGATGAAGCACCTGTCCATATATTTTCATTAATTATAAAAGAACACAGGTTTCCATGACCGGAATCATGAATAAAGCGAACAAAATCTGGGCTTGTAGGCCTTGGTCAAATGAACGTGTAGTACGTATCGTCTGCTACTGCGGCAGGCATAAACACGGGTATGTACATTGACTTCGAGATATAACCTTCATCCTCTTAGGGGCTTTCTGTACTCCAGTATTGGGATTTTCAATTTCTGATCCAGGAAAGTGCACATAGAGAATCTCTCTTAGTCTCCCTCGTTTTTATTCACTATCTAGTACTTGTATTTATATTATTCACTGAGATTTCAGGAACCTTCGAGAGTATCTTGTAGAGCAGCACCTTGGGTTGGTTCCATCTTCTCACATTACCTTCTACATGATTACCTTTGGATTTCCTGGAAGTCTGATGCGTTTCATCACATATTTTATTGATGACACATGTGTATTTTTTTTTCACCTGTATTCATAGAGAAACTAATTCTAAGTACCGTTTAAGGTGTCATAAACACATAGTACTGCTTCTTCATAACTTTTGCANACTTTGGTCATAACGATCACATACTGAGAAGAAGAAGGCAACTTGAACTTCCTGAAAGTTTATGTTATCACCTGTAATATTAGAGATGTTATACTTGATACCTTGTATCATGAATCCATATATTGGTGTGAAAAATAGTTCACTTCTTATATGCATGTATCTCAATTCCCGTTTCAGGGTGGTTGACAAGACTAGCATTGAGTTGCGGTGTTTATTATTTATAATCACAGATAGGTCATTATTAGTTTCAATTGTTGATTTAATATCATTTACATTTCGGAATATAATTCAATTAATTTACCACACAAGATCGATTATCATTTATGATAATTAACATAAAATTTATCCTTCCACTTAGGAGTTAATATGGCTTTCAGATAATTTGCCAAGTAAAACTCTCAACAACTCTGTTGAAACGTACAAATAGTTTTTATAGAAATTATTAAACCAACTACTGTGATGTCAATAGACTTTTTTTGTTTTGTTTCAGTCAGTGACTGACTTTTCCATTTCCTTTATACTTGAGAAGTAAACCTAATGTCTCGCCTTGTAGATCTTCTAGAGCAGGGGTCTCCAAACTTTGAAGCCTTCGGGCCATAATGATTTTTTCAGTTTGTTCCAAGGGCCAAAGATATTGTAT